CCCCCCCCACCCCCTCCACTATTCCGCCTATGGCTTTAGTCGATGTAGTGTGAGTTGTTCACCACCCATTATTATGCGAGAAGATACTCGTAATTTACAGCCTGCCGCAAGGTACCTAAACCGATTCTCTGTCTGCGCGTCTTGTGGTACGCAACTTTACAAGTGCATATTGTGCATTTATGACGTATCAGCACATAGCTCTTGCCATTTACGAACACATGATCACCTTGTCTCTTGAAGTCAATCTATTCTGGTTGCGTCCTGTATCCGGGGCCACGATTATATTTCTCCTCAACAGATACCTACTCTTGTTCATTGCTGTAATGATGATACTGGATGTTATTCCTTTCACTGCTGCCCTGGTGAGTTCTCTCACCAGTCACTCTTCTCTCCCTGTGAAAATCTACATTACTGTGGAGTAGAGGTGTGTCTGTAACATCTTTGTTATAACATTACATTACTAAACATGATTATCTGTGAGACCATGCTGGTTCTTCTATGTATTGTGGAAATTTCAGCAATGGTGATTATAGCATGTTTGTCTTTCTTTCACTTTCAGCTCTATTCATTACTGAATGCTTCATACAAAGCATTTTCTGCTCTGCGGACATATGCTGTAAATGCACCACGTAAAGGTCTTGCATTTCTTGTACTCATATTTGGGCTTGCATCTGTGATCATAAATGTGGTGTGTTACAATCTTCATGGCATTGTTGGCATACTCTTACACAAAGGCAGTATATTGACATAACTTTGTCTCCCCATGTATTTATGGAAAATATTTCCATGGCATGTGGAACACACTCATCTATGTCGTTTCCTGTCTTGTTCAAGTTAGTGTTCAAGACTTTTTACCAGAATACTCACTGACATCACTTGATACAAACAGATGCAAGTACTCTACTAGTGGCAAAAGTTATTATAAGACTAAATTCTAATTTCTCTCTAGGGTCTCTTGCATGCTCAGCATTGACCATCATCTCTGATATGCTTGTTATTGCAATTACCTGGAAGCATACCTTTCAGTCAGTTTTGATGTCTCAACATCATGGATTCAAACCATCTTTAGTGTTGATTGTTCTCAGAGATGGTACACATTCAATCAAACCATTAGATATGCTTATTTTAATTGAAAAAATGTTACAGGTACAGCATACTTTCTGTAAGATCATTTCTGAATTTTGATATTTCTTGACACAGTAGATTAATCATTGTGTTCAGAATAAACCTCACATTGCAGATTTTAGGGCTCATAATTCTGTATCAGGGCAATGGAATATCCGTCAATACTCACACATTCAGACCCTGAGTTATTGCTGATGGGACACTTATAGGATTCCGCCGGCTATGTATTCGCATTTGGGAACGTGTGAGTGGTACTCATGATCTCCGTCGGATCCCGTTTCAATTACTCATCCGCTCTGTTAGTATACCATATATCCTCATCTCACGATTCATACTCAACCTTCGAATCGCCTCCGCATCCAACCGCAATTCAAGTCTCTCCTCCTGGTCCAATTCGGATGAATTGCATGTGCCAACGGCGAGCTTGAACTTTGCGACTAGTCTTGTCGGAGACTTGGGTGGTCCCCTTGATTACGGTCTGACTTTTACTTCGACTGGAGAGTTCTTGATTGAGGAGGATGACTCCAAATCGTCCGAGCCGATTCGTTTAATTCTCAGGACTGGCGAGGACATCGAGCTCGCGGATCTCAGTGAAGGAAGACAAAGATATGAAACAGTAAGCAGTGAGAGCTCATGCTTGGTCCGGACACTTGGCTAATTGCTCATGTATAGTACGATGGGATAGACACCAGCACTGCACCGACTCCTGAAATTCTTTTATCTAGACAGTCAGGTTGAGGAACATTATGTTGCAAGCAAGCAACACGATCATGAAACGGATTTGTAATAATGTGGGCAGATCTCCCAGCAGCTGTTTGCAATTCGATCAGGACGATAAGCACGATCGGTAATGTACAGTAGATGACCACTGGAAGTGCTGACGGTCGCATAATATGTTTATATAAACACTGTGCGTGCGCTTCGAAAATGCATTCCTCTCTCACACCAGCGATCTTGATTTTAAGTCTTGCTACGGCCCCTATGTCCTCTGAAGTGGCCACCTAAGAAACACTAGCGTCAGTCGGACGCCAATGCCAACTCATTGGGGGAAGTTCTGGCTAGAGGATGGCAGCATCGTCCTGAACGCGAGCAGTACCGCGTTCTGCGTGCACAGGTCGATATTGTACGAGTGCTCGGGCGTGTTCTGCAATATTCTCGCCGATCCCCAGGCCAAAAGAGGCGGTAAACACAGGGGGTGTAGATGGGGGCGCTTTCTCTGCGCCAGCCTCGCGCAGACCGGGAGGGACAGATTGCCAGTGCGCATATGTACCTGTACCACGAACGGCGCCGGGTTTCTCTGAAGGCCATTGAGGGTCTCTTGCGCGTCAAATACAAGATCAAAGACATCCACAGCGGCATCTTGGAGACTATAGCCGCATCGTTCGATTGTCCGTTCGATCTCCTCTGAGCATTCCAATACGTACGATCGTAGATGCCATTGGCACAGATATAATACAAACGAGCGTTGCTGCGTATCTCCAGCGTCTCAAAAGGCGAGCACTCTTCTGGCCAGGAGGACGAGGGCGCTACACGAACGCGCAAGTTGCAAAAAACACGCGCCGTAATGTGCAAGTATACATATTCTTTCTGGTTTACAATATGGAGATGTGGTACAAGCGACCGGGACTAACTTCATGCCATCCCTCCGCGCAGCGTCCTATCACCAAACTGTCACTACACTATAAACATTCCCGCGAGTGAAGTGAGGGTGCCTGAGCACGCAAGCATTCCAGGAGGACCGGGGGTGGGCTAGATCGTGGGGCGGAAATGCGACCATAGGGTTTTCTGGCAGCGAGCTGGTCTTGAAGAAGGTAACTAGATGTACTCTGGGTTCATTGCGCTCGAACATCTTCTGGTTTGATGCAGTGAAATTGAGGAATAGTGTATCTCTTCCGATACACCATTGTGCATTTCGATGGTGGTAATAATGAACCCACCGAGAAGCTAGAGGGCCCCAATACCCTAGGGTTCAGCGATTACATAAGAGAGCTTCTTGGTAATGATCCTTAGCAAAAGCCGACGACAGTGATTGTTCAGAAGACGGTAAAAACATCCACGAAGCTGGAGACGGAGTCCGCCGATAGCGATAACAATGCCGTGGACATAGCGGTGGAAGTAAGGGAAGACACTCCAGGGCCAGGATACGATGGAGATGTATGGCAGTTGTGTCCTGCACGCACGCAGCCACGCAGAAGCTGGGGATGAAGTCCACGAAAAGGCTTAAATGCGGATGGTGACGATGACATCGTGGACAGAGCAGCCAGTTGTTTGTCAGGAGATAGGATGCAACGGAGATACATAACTGCTGTGTCCTGTACGCCTATGTTGAGGTGTAGAGTAGGGCAGATACGACATCGTTCAGTGAAGTCCCAGTATAGCATGTGTTGGGAGAGAAGGGGGGTGTCGACAGCATGCGCGTAGCAGTAGAAGAGAGCCCAAGTCCTGTCCACGGAGGCTATACTCGCCACAGCTAAAGCGGCAAAGAACAAAGCGGCGTGAGTTGATGTAAAGCGTGGAGGAACGAACCACATCAAAGCGGACTAATCACGATCCCGTTCACTCTACACGATGAATGCGTCAATGTCTCCGAATCCGGCTGGATGCGTTCCTGCCCTCGACGCCACATTCCCTCGTGCCAGAGGAAACAGATAACATGGGCAGCTCAGCGCTGAGCGGTGGGCACCACGTTTCCACCGTGTCTGGAATAGCTCCGTCAGCCCTTCTCCACGTCCGATCGACCAGTCTACGTAGACTTGGACATACGCTTAATCAACGCTCGTGGGTATCCGCGCCTGAAATTGCGTTAGGGAACCGGTATGTGTTCGGCACAGATGTCCAGCTGGGCAGGCGAAGGCCGCGACTGACTCAGACCAGGGCCATAGCGACGGGGGCTGGATACGTTAGCAACGCGAGCGTACGAAATCCCAAGAACACCTCACGATGTGTAGTACGTGTACCAGAGAGTGACGATTGCAGTAGGAAGGTTCGGGTGTAAGTGGGTGAAGGCTGCGCAGGGAATGTGCATGACGAAAACGAGCGCCTTGAGTGTAGCTCGGACAATGGGGAGAAGAGAAAGCGACGCGCGGGGGAATTTATATCTCGAAGGTGGCGCCCCAGGCCTCATCAACCTACGGTCCTAGCGGAGACCACAGCTGCGGTGGGCCCTAGCACGGCGTGCGTGGCGTCTCGCACCACGCATGGCGGTTATCTTTGGACGATAAGGACAAGGACAGACGAAGGCCCAGCATGGACGTATGAAACGAACGGCGGTGCTTGCTCGTTGGTGCCTGTGGCCCCGTCGCATGGGTGTGAGCTCGTAGCAGTGCCATAACCACCGCGCGGGCCCAATGCCAACGCCTCCCTCTGACCGTACCAACATTTAACTAGTCTTCTATCCAAAAGCAGCGCCGCGCACGAGGCTGTGCCCGCCCCTGAGACGAGTATCTGAGCTTTCGCAAATGACCAGACGCAGTCATTGTTCACACTGCTACCTCCGCCCGCCTTCCGGATTCGGTCGTCGCTGATCCCCTCACACCTCGCTACCACGGTGCATGCACAACTCGCTATAGCTCCGACTTGCTATATTCGTGACGGCATCCACACGCAGACGGCGTCGGCGGAGACCGTAGACACATATGGGCACATCGATGGAGCGACGTGGACCATCGGACGGGACAAACGGCAGATTCCTGCATTTGATGGAGCTGGAATGTGGAGTCACGACGCGCGGAGGACGTGTCGTGGTGCAGAATCAGACAGGAGATAGAGGACATCGAGGACAGGAGTGAAGAGGAGGCCAAGGTCCAGTGGGCGAGGGACGCGTGGGCAGGCGGGCCAGATAGAATTGAGAGTTAGAGTGACCACGCCAATGAGACTGCGGCACGCTGCACTTGATACCAAACCCTTCGGAAGGAGGTGAATACTGCGAGGATGCGTGAAGTCGCCCTTCGCCGTTGGATGATAGACCGGCAACTACCGACATCCCGCCTCAAGACAATCTTAAATCCTATCATCTGGCGGCGCTCCCTGCAGCTGGAGCTGGAGTGCGCAATATGATCCCACATCTCGACTCTATGCTCATTGTGCCCATTTGATGTCTTCGAATCTTTCACAAACCACTCAACGCCAGCCCTAAGATGCCGGCATATTATCACCCCACAGGCGGGCAGTGACCAAACCTTCAGTGCGTTCAATCCTTGGTACACATCAAATTTAAGTGGTCATATAGAGGAGAGGATAATGCAAGATAAATATCGAATAAAATTGTCATACATTACTAGAAGAACGGGCATTAACATATAGCTATGTGACCTGATTACGCTGAACGCACTCGACCCGGTCGCTTAGATTGACAGTATTCAGGAGTTAAACAATGCCAATGTTAGTGTCTTCCTGCAGCTATACATGAGCAGTTAGTTGTGTATTGGGACCAATCATACAGTGAGTGTGCTCTTTATACATACCATTTCATCTCCCTGTCTTTCCCATCTAACATGTACTAGCTCGATATTCTCATTGGCTGTTTGCCTGTCACGAATCGGCTCGAACAGGTCATCCTCACCCACACGCAACTCATTGTCTGTGGGTAAAAGGAGACCATGGCCAAGGGGTCCACCCATGTCTCCAATGAGACTCGTTACAAAATTTGCACTGATTGTCTGTACATGCAATTCTTCAGCAATGAACCCGGAGGAAGGGTGTGAAGTGCGTGCGGATTCGGACGCAATTCGAAGGTTAAGCATGAATCGTGATATGAGGATATAAGGTATACTAATGAAGAACTGGATGAATATTATGTTCAGCTCAAGATTCTGCAAGTTACTTACATGTTCAGAAATGGATTTGCATATCCAGCCAGAGCCCCCTAAATATGTCTTGGTCAGGAATGATGGAATTAAAAAACATTATTGAGAACTTACTGATGTATCCTGAATAAATATCAGTTGTGCAATCTGCAATGTGACATTTATTCTGGATATAGTAGTTGTTTTACCCCTACTCAAAAACAATGAAAATAGTGATTAATCTCACATAAAGTATATTGTTCCTGTATAAGTTCTTCAATTGAAAATTATTTGATTACACAAATAGAAACCTACCATCTATGAAGATAATTGATATAAGAGATTTTTTGATTTTATAATTTTGAGATATCAAGCCTGATTGAAGTGTGTGCTTCCAGGTAACAATAATAACAATTACATCAGAAATTATGACAGATACTGAGGTTATAATAGTAACTACAGAGAAATTAGTATCATATTAGTGATGCCTGATACATTGCTTACATCTGTTGTATATCAAGGAATATTAATGATGATTCTATACATGCAAATTCTGACACTTACTCAAAAGCAAGAAAGTCATTGATGAATCTCCCACATATCACTATGTTGTTCACTGCAACTAAAGTAGAAGATGATTTTCCATATCCATACTGCTTTAGCATGAGAGCACATTCAAATCCTAGGAAAGAATGGAACACACTATATTGACTGCCAAAGGCACAAATCCAAATAGAAACACAAGTACTGCAAGTGGTTTATTATATCCACTCATAGCATATGCTCGTAGGACATTAAGCACTACAAACGATATACTTAGTAGTAGACAGAGATCAATGTAAAGAACATACTTGCTCCAACAAGCACTACTGCAAATCCAACAATATATTCTACAATGAGCACGACATGACAGCTAACCCCAATGAGTACTATTACATCATGATTGGTTTATTGCAAACAAACCTCTGTCCATGCAATATGAGTTTTTATAGAAAGATGAAAATGCATAGTGAGAGAACTTACTTCAATAGTAACAAAAGAAAAAGCCATCACACTCAATCCAGCACTGAACAAGAGTAGATATCTATTGAGGATGAATACAATTGTGGCTCCAGATACAGGATGTAGCCAGAATAGATCAACTTCAAGAGAGAAGGTGATGATGTATTCATAGATAGTGAGGGCTATCATTATACCAATGTTTCATAAATATATGATAATGCACATGGAAAGTTACACACCAAATACTGCACAGGCACATATATTGTCTAGATACCTTGTGTAGACTGTAAGTCATGTATGTCCTCATGTAGGCATGAGTGGAGACAACTTACAGTGTATTCACAAAAGTTACCAAAGATGTAACAGAAGACATGTCAAGAGAATATGTGCTCAAAACTTGCAGATGTGAAGGCTCAGCTGAAAAACAAGTGATGGGGATTTTGTATGCTACAGTGGTTTAACGAGCTGCTTATCAGAGAAGCACTGGCATCCATGGTGTTATATATGCGTGGTTTGGAGGCACTATGATAATATCAGTGTGTCTGTTGCAGATCACTGCAGCTAGATGTATAACCAACATCCGTATATCACCTTGTCTGTATCAACAACAGATCTATGGGCGTTGGAGCTGACATACCGAGATATCAGGTATGAATGTTCATTGATTCGGGCGCCATGGAGAGACCAGCTCACTCGAGTCTTGTTCAACACTGTTATGATGATACTATGGCAAGGTCGTTGAAGTGGTAGCCATGGAGATGTGAAAACCAAAATCAGAAGACGTAGAGAGGATGAGGGTGCATCCCAAACCCCCACTTTTCAAACGCGAAGTACACGCCAGCCCACAAACTCGGTAGTTATCTGCAATCCGGCGAAGACAATAGGTACTTAGATGACAATCAGTAATACATTGGTGTCGCATCAAAGGATAGTCCTGTGCTAACAGCAGCACAGCGTAACAAGCACTCCAAACTACTGAGAATGTGGTCTGGCATTTGATGTCTGGACTCAAGTGCAATTCGCACTGTCTTCGCCGTGCATGGAGCTCGCTGCGCCGACGTCGTGTCCTCTCACTTGAGTGCTATCTAGGATATGTTCCCATCAGTTGGATATTGATGCCGATGCCAGCTCAACAGAGGAGTTAACAGCAACAGAGGAGTTAACAGCAACAGAGGAGTTAACAGCAAACGAGCTAGAGTCAAGGCGGCCCAAGATTGGCACATGCAGAGACGTGAACGCGGGGATGGGCACCTGAGAGTGTGAGGGAAGAGCGAAAGTGAACGGAAGGAAAATGTGGCCCAGACGAACCTGGCGGTTCATGTGGACGTACGCATACTAGACCATTTACGTAAGGGGTCAGGCTTTCGTAAAGGTAGGACGTTGATTGAGGTCGGTGAGAGGTAATCAGGTAAAAGCACAAGCAGAAAGACAAACGGCTCGATGTTAAGTCGTACTACTAGAGTCCAACGCGACGAACGCGCTGTGGGCAGACGAGAGACAAGATGTCAGGACAGGGGTGAGAGGCAGGCTCCAGTCCTGCAAGCAAGGGAACAGACAACAGTGTGTCAGCGATAGTGCAGCAGACAGCACAAGATGAACAAAACTCTTCAGATTCTAGAAGAGCTACAGAAAGTGAATGAACCCGAGGACGCGCGAAGTTGCCCTCTGCCACTTGGATCAGCTTGGATCTAAGACTTCGCGCCAACAATTACAAACAACCTTCGCTTGGCTCTCTGCGACTGCATATCTCAGGCTCGTATCTCGACTCTGAGTACGCTTGGACCTCTCACAAATTACTCAGCACCGGCCATGGATCTTAGAGACTGATGTCCACAGATAGGCAGGCAATGTCCAAAACTTCTAGTGCGTCAGATTCTTTCTTTGTATACGCTATGAGTATAAGCGGTAATATTAGCGAGAATAGAGGCGAGACGAATACCGAATCAAGTTGTCGTACAGCACGAAATGGGACCGACAAGTACGCGAGCTGTTGTGAGCTTCAAGAAGATAAAGGAGCTCATGCCGACTGGGTTCGTCTTGCCTGTTGCATATCATTGTTTTTTTGCACCCTCTCTGTTGACATATGTGCTTGCATGGTCGAGTCTTTCATTCATGTAATTTCATCCTGACCACATATGTTATTGTCCAATCTGCCGGGGCCCATTTGTCCGTGCTGCATAAACCTCCGCTCGAAACCCCCGTCGAGCTTCTCGTGCGATTAGTTGATAATTCCTAAGGAGGGCAAAATGGAGGAGATCTGAAGTATCATAATCATGGCGCGATATAGTAAGTGGGTGGATATTAAGTGAGAACGAGTATGTTTGTGGGCATATAGGATCAACTGATGAATGTCCAACATGATGGTATTCACCATCGCCAACTCTTCAATAAATAGTCTTCTCGCCGGAATACTCGATAGCGATCACTATTATTTTGGGGCAGTCAATGGCTTGCACGACGCGCTGGAACTAGTACGAGACTGAGATGCATGGGTATTAGCGTATGGCTACGTGGCAAATTGAATTCATCTCACTAGAATGTGCTCAAGTCGACTGCTTGGATGGTGAAATCCAGAAGTTACGCATCGTTGGCGTTCATGCCTTTGTGCAGCTGTGTGTGAGCAGTTAAGTATCGGAGTCCATCGTGTAGCGCCAGTGAACGTGCTCTTCTTACTTACCATTTTGTACGCTTGCTTTTCTTGTCTAAGATTAACTAGCTCGATATTCGCGTCTGCTGTCAAACTACCGTGAATTGGCTCAGATGAGTCGTCCGCATCCACGTGGAACTCATTATCTGCGGGTGAAGGCAAACCATAGTCAAGAGGTCCACCCATATCTTCAACAAAACTTGTTGCAAAGTTTATGCTCATTGTCTGTACATGTAGTTCCGTGTCTTCCCCCATGACCCCGGAAGAATCATTTGAAGTCCGCGCAGATTCAGAGGCAATTCGAAGGTTGAACATGAACCGTGAGATGAGGATATAAGGTACCCTAGTAGAGAAGTAGATGAGGATTGAGTATTTGAAGTATATTCAGCTCAAGATTATATACTAGTAAGTTACTCACATGGCCATGAACACATTTGCATATTGAACCATAACCTAAATGTATTAAGGTTGGAAATGATTGAGTTAGAATCATCAAGAACTTACTGATTTATCTTCACTCATATACATGAATATAAGTGCTGCAATCTGCAATGCAAGGTTTATTCTGAGTATAGCAGTGGTCTCATTTCTACTCAAAAACAATGAAAATAGTGACTGGTCTCACAAAAAGTATATTGTTCCTGCATAGGTTCTTTAGTCAGCATGAATCTATCAAATTACTGAACAGAAACTCACCATCTCTAAAAAAAATTAAGATAAGAGATTGTTTGAATCTATGAGTTTGAGATACAAAGCCTGATTTAAGTGTATGCTTCCAAGTAATAATAATGACCATTGCATTGGAAATAATGGTAGACACTAAACTTATAACAGTTACTGCAAAGAAGTTAGCATCATATTAACCATGTCTGATAAAACATGTACATCTGTTTAATGTGAATATGCATTAATGAAGATTTTGTGTGTGTATATTCTAAAACTTACTCAAAATAAAGAGAAGCTGACATGTAAATGCTTGTTCCACATGTCATGGTGTTGTTCTCTGCATATACAGCAGGAGATGTTTTTACATATCCATACTGTTTTACATAACAGTGAGCTAATACCCTAGCAACAATTGAGACATACTGCATCAACTACCACAGGCACAAGCCCAAACAGAAGCACAATCAATGCAAGTGTTTTATCAAGCCCACTTATTGCATATGTTCGTAGGGCAGTAAATACTGCACATGAGATACTCAGCAATAGATAGAGGTCAAAGTGCAGAACAAACCTGCTCCCACAAGCCCCACTGCAAATCCCATAACATCTGCAACAATGAGCATAGCTCCACAGCTAACCATTTTGAGTCTTTTGATGTCATAAATGGAATATTGCAGACAAACCTCTATCCATATAATATAAGCATCAACAGAAAGATAAGAGTATATAGTGAAAGAACCCACCATGCCAGTAGATAAAACAAGGCTCAGCATATCCAATACAGCAGTAAACAAGAGTAGATATCTATTGAGAAGAAACACAATTGTGGCCCCAGATACAGGATGCAGCCAGAATAAATCAAATTCAAGAAAGAAGGTGATCAGATATTCATAGATAGTGAGGGCTGTTGTGTGAGTATTCCATAAACATGCAATAATACATATGGAAGATTCCACACCAGAGGATGCATAGGAGCAAATATTATTCAGGTGCCTTCTGGTAGACTGTAAGTTATGTGTGTTTTTTTGTCATTATAAGCGGTAGACAGCTCACACTGTATCAACTGAATTCACCATGTATGTGATGGAAGACATACTAGGAGAGCGCCCGCGCAAGAGCCGCAGACACGAAGGTCTAGAACACCAAGTGATTGAAGTTTGTGTGCTACGGTGATATGAATACCCGCCTACCAGAAGTGCACTAGTGTCCGTGGAATTATATATGCGCGATTTATGACAGAACTGCGGGACTGATGTTTCTGTCATAGATAGAGATTAATGAAATATGGCGAATGATGCTATCGGGGCAATGTTTCAGCGCAAACTCATAGGAAAAATGACTCCGTCGAGTTTCGATCTTGACAGGATCATGAGGTTATGGTTATTTGAATGGAAACCATGGCTGCGCAAAATCAAAAAAATCAAAAGATTGACAGGGTCAGTGGCAATGCGCATCTTTGAGTTATTTTTCACAAGAGCGTGGTCATTTCAACCCATGGATAATGTCAATCGTGCGCGCAACTCCAACTTGCGTCGTCTTCACTGCGTGTACGATCGGGCGAGCACCGACATCTTAAGTCAAGGCCTTGACTCACCATCGGACTTTCTAGGGACGCTATCATATCAACTCCGGTGCTATCTAGGGAAGTTCACACCAGTTGGATCCCGATGGCAGCTCACCAGAGGCCATCTCCGCTCAACTGCAGCCTCATGACGACGGACGGGCACATCGCGCTGAGCTGGAAAGTACTACGCTTCGCGTGCACAAATCGCCCTCGCAATGGTTCAATGGGTAGGGGAAGAGGTAGGACGTCGATCGAGATCAGCGAGCAAGGGCGAGAGGAGAGTACCCGTGAACGAGGTAAAAGCGCGAGAAGGACGAACGGCAGAGTCGGACGTTTGAGGGAGCGGGGATGCAGGAGGAGGACGATAGAGTGGCAGAGTCACAGACGCGTGGCGGTCGTGTTGTGGTGCAGATGGGAAACAAAGAGCGTCGAGAAGATCTAGCGAACGAGGGGATCGCCAGATGGAAGTTGATCAGGGTCAGGGCATCGACCGCCAGCCGACGTGGATGTCAATCAAGTTCCCGCCGCGTGGTCAATGTGACTTTCCTCCGACGCGCGACAAATTCTCATCCGGTGAGGCCATCATTTGACTTGTACTAGTAAGAACAGCGTCGCGTCGACTCAAATTTCACAAAAGCACCGCACCTTCCGAACGCAACATGTTTCAGGAGGTACACCACGCGGAGTGTGGACAGACTCCATCTGGCAGACTAATAGCTGCGGGAGACGCGGCGCGCTCACGTCGTATGCTCTGTTTGCTGAGCACACTGTGGCGAGGAGGTTATGTATTAACGTAGACATAGCGACGCAAGCAGATACCGAGGCAGATTAATATTGTCTGCTTCATAACCCGACACGCTCTGTTGAGCGCGATGGAAGCGGTGTCACAGCCCATTTGTTGTGGATGTAGACGGATGGACAGTCTCAGAGCAAGCGACCACTGCATACACTGTGCGCCAGAGTGGCTGACAGCTTTGGAGTCGCGGTGGCCGAAGTCGGCGCGGGGGCGAACACCTACGAGAGCGAGGGGAGAGCAAAGGCAAACAGTAAGGAAATGTGACGGAGGCGTATTTGGCGGTGAGCGTCGACACACACACAAACCTGGACCGCATATGCGGGTTGATCGTTTCGATGGGGGGTGAAGGTAGGACGTCGAGGCCTGCAAGTGAGGACGAGAGGAGAGCACAGATAGAACGAAAGCGCTAGAAAGGGAGATGCACGCACCCTATTGAACTGTAAAATGAGATTTATGACGCGCGCCGGACGGCCTGTGGTACAGACCAAGTGCAAATAGGACTAAGGACACAGAGGACGTCAAGTGAGGCGAAGCCTGCCACCGGGTCCAGTGGGCGACTCGGAGATGATCTTACGGGGTTAAGAGCCAAATGACCGCGTCAACGAGACTGGTGGCAGATAGCAAGAGCGGATATAAATCCTTCGGAAGCTAGAGGGGGTGGATGCCCCGAGGACCGAGGAGGGGGAGAAAAGATACAGTTGTCTCTTACTAAGGCGCCGACGACTATTAGCGCACGCCCGGCGGGTTCGCTCGTCACTATCCACCACCACGACTGCCTGCCAGCCTGGGCTCCCTGTGGCTGGCGTACCCAAATCCTCGCAATTTGATCTCAGATATAATTCGCCTGCTCTATGTCTTCTGATCTCTCACAAATGGCAACTCTCTCAACACCGATCACAGGAAATAGCCACTTCGTGCACTCTACGGGCCGTGCGTCTGATGCATTCCTCTGTATACACTATTGACACTCTCAGCACACGAGATCATGCAAGCGAGAGGAGACGCGAGATGATAGAGTTTTCGTAGAACAAGCGGGACAGACATGCTTTCTTGCCCGCTCTTCACTCGCCCGCACAGCTCACCACGCCCGTCGAACAGGTGCAGGTACAACATTGCAAAGCCGCGCTTGTCCTTCTCGCGGCATCCATCGTCCTTCACGAGCGCCGTGACCGCCAATGCCATCTCGTCCTGTTCAAAGTCACCTCACTGTCCACCTTGCACTCCGGCACCAGTGCGCGCTGCAGCACCTTCAGGTCGGTCAGACTTATGGAAGTTCCTCCCGGGGCGGTTCCGAGAGGGACGGGTCACGATGCGGGCTTCAAGCGTATCCCGTGTGGAAGGATGCAGAGAATTGAAACCGAGATGCAGCACAGACAAGAGAGGGCCAAGCAGGTGCGCCCCATATCTCACTTACTTTCACAGCGTGAGATTCGATTGTCGCCGCCCAAAGCTAACCCGCAGGTACATACTCCCCCACTGCATCGACCACGGCCATATCTGGTTGCTCGCCTCTTTCCCGCAATTCCGCTTCAATGTCCTGCAAATCCTTGGTCATATACTCGATTGTTACATCCATATCATGGATCTTTTCCCCCACGTCCCACACCTCTTCTTGGACGTCGATCCGCGTTTCTTGTTCCTCCACTTGACCATCATTCCGCGTTTTCCGTGTTTGCACGCACCTCTCCGCCTCCACTGGCTGCGGTTGCTGGTCCTCCATCTTCAAATCACACGGAATAGGGCTGCTGTGTATGTTCTATGCTTGCTGATGCCTTTGCGACACCTGAGCTTCACCATCCGACGTCATGGCGGCGGCAGACCCCTGCCAGGCCTAAACATGGTGTGTGGCCTATGCTTGCGTCATGGTTAGGAAAAGAAGCGCTACCGCTGCGCAATCCGCATATGTACGCCCACCCGCGTCATATCTGCTACTCCCCCTATGTTCCCAGTGTCATTTTTGTGCCCGATATATGTCTTTCTCTTATTTCGAAGCACCCCTGCACGCCACGCCTTCAAGTCCTGTCGTTCTCCGTATTTTCACGGTGGAGGGAATGATTGGTGACGTTAAGGGGAGCGATAAGGTCGTGGCTCAAGGAAACACGTTCTGTACAGGAGTCCAACGTCGAGTCCCAGACTCCACGGCTCATCCCTTTTTCCCGTCGTTCTCATTGCACACTTGTTGTCTGCTATGATTCAAGTCTCATACGCACAAAGCATCCCCGACAAGGGATGGTGTTTTTGTAAACCTCCGGCGCACTTTCGGAAGATATCAGTTTACGGGAGCGATCGCTGCAAAGCAGGTTCCGTATCATGCCAACCGCTCATTGACACACCATTTTTCATGACTCGTTGGTGTTCTTCAAGCGTTTCCGAAAGATAAGCCTTGATATGACAAAGGGCTATATCGCGCAGTACGGTGATCTGGTACTTGTGAGTAAGACGCAAAAGTCTCTCATCTGTGCCCATGGTCCAGGATAGCCGTTCCGCCAATGGCCCGCTCCTTCCTCTCTGCTGTTTTGAAACGCTCAAGAGTACAATGTTCGACACAGCAATATGTGACATCAATGATGAATTACAAGCTCTGAGTAAATACACTACTTGTCAAATTGCATACCGTCTCTTCCTAGTCGAAATATACCGGCGATACGATGATCTCTCAACACGGTGTTCTTGTGCTTGTTTCGTAGTCGGCAATGGTTTCTCGAACTTTGTAGATACTCATGGTTTACTCGTGAACGACTATCGAGTGCGTTGTACGTGCATCGCTGGGAATACGTGGTGAGGCTCAATTGTCTAGTGTTCGATGTCTACTATCACAAACGACAATGCGCAGCATGAAGGGAATGGTTTGATACGTACATTGAAGCGCAGGTATGACATGCTATACTCACAGCAAGGCAATTAGCAGCATACCTGGCAGTCGCTGCCAAACGGCCGCGCAGACTGGGGTTAACTGTACGTAAGTCAACTTTGGCTTTTTATCAGTTTCGAGGGACGAGTGTCTCGTCAGGCGTGTTCGTATCTCAGGACATCTCAGGACAGCTGTTTATAAATGAATGGCCATTCGTGCTCTCGCGAAATACTCATGCGCACAGTGTCCGACACAGTGATGTCTGCTGTCTTGAACTATGAGTTCTGGACAAAAATTCTACTTGTCCAATTTTATGTTGTCCGCGACTATTTCAATCCCGCGCAAATGGATCCCCAAGAATAGATATTAATATATGACTACATCACAATGACTTAATAACGCGCTAGTCACATGAATGCGCCGTCCCCCAATGCAAATGCCTAGCAATGTCGGGAGTTGTCGCATTATTAGTGTTAGCACCTTCGTGCAGCTATATATGAGCGGTCAGTTGCGCATTCGGATCAATCTTATAGAACTGCGTGCCTCCGCTACTTACTATTTCATCTGTCCGCCTTCTCTTGCTAAGGTCTGCTAGCTCAATGACCGAGTTCACCGGAATGAGCTCGTGCGAGTCATCCGCATCGAACTCGTCATCGGGAGGAAAAACGAAACCACTGTCAAGAGGTCCACCCAAGTCTCCAACAAGATTGGTCGCGAAGTTCAAGCTCATTGTCTGTGCGTGCAGCCTGTCAGAACTGAAGCGGAACGTCGTATTCAATGTGCGTGCAGATTCGGAGGCCATTCGGAGGTCGAGCATAAACCGCGAAATGAGGATATATGGTATACTAGGAGTTCAGATAAGTACTGGGTACTTGGAAACATGTCCCAACCATGGTTCAAAATTGCTCACGTGAGGATGAATGGAGTTGCATAGTCAGAATAAGCCTAAAAGTTCATATCAGGAATCATTCATATATAATAGTGTAAAGATATTGACTGGGACTCGTTGACCGTCATAATAGAGTGTAAGCATCAAAACTTGCAGTGCAAGACTTATTCTGGATCCAATCATTTTCTAATTATAATCAAGAGAATACTGAAATGCTCTTACAAAAAGTACACTGTCCCTGTACAACACTGTAAATTAGCATGAGTTCCATTTTGTAGCTCAATTAAATGTCACCATCTGTGAAGATAACAGATATTAAGGATTGCTTGAAACCAGGATACTGAGACCTGAAGCCCAATTGGAATGTATGCTTCCAGGTAATCAGGATGACAATTGTATCAGAAACAATAGCCATGATAGTAAACACTATGTGCATGATAGATACTACAGAGAAATCAGTACCATAATAATAGTCATCAGCACAAGGAGCACACCTTCATCTCTTGAATATTACATGATATTAGTATTGACTGCATATAAAAAATCAACACTTACCTCATTGAATAGGTGTTTGGCAGGTTAGTGGTGTAGGCTAATGTAGTTATTTTTGTGAAATGAGACACATTCAAATTAAGCAGCTGTCTTAGTATGAGACAATATTCATACCTCAGAAATGATAGAGACATACTATGTCAATTGCTATATTTGCAAGTCCAAACACAAGTACAAGTAATGCGGGTCGTCTATCAGACCCACTAATAGCATATGTTCGTAAAGCAGAAAATACTAGACATGTTTTTCAGCAATAGGCACAAATTATAAGTAAATGTGAGACAAACCTACTGCATTGATTATTATTATACTTTCCCCAATAAAATGAAGATCATAGATGACAGGATAGCTGTCATTGTTATTGCAATATCATAATTTAAATAGAATGGACAAACCTCTAAATCCATAGATGATAATATAAGTTTGTGCAGAGACATGAGAGTGCATAGCAAGAAAACTCACCAAGGCAGGAGTGATATTGTCTAATATAATTACTACAACATTGAACAGGAGAAAGTACCTATTGAGGAAGAATATAATTGTGGCCCCAGGTACAGGATGCAACCAAAACAGATCAACTTCATAGGAGAGGGTAATAAGATGGTCATAGACAGCAAGGACTATTGTGCAAATATTATATAAATGCATGAGATGCACATGAAAGATGCCTCACCACAGGATGTGCAGATGCAGACACTGCTCAGGTACCTGGTAATAGATCATAAGTTACAAGCATCTTCATGCACAGTCGCAGATGATAGACAACCCACACAGAATCAAATCCAGTTGCCATAGATAGAATAGAAGACATGTCGGAGCAAAGCTCGCACACAATTTATAGACGCAAAGATTCAGTTGAACAGCAAGAAACAGAGAATGAGACTCGTGTTATATGTCCCCATGGTTTAACAGGATACTTACTGGAAATGCGTTGATATCCCCGAAATTAGATCCAGTTACTCTTGTAGAGCGCCAGCAAGATCAACATCGCTGTCAGACATGGCGCTGAGATAAGGATGATGATGGAATCATCGAAAGCAAAAATTTCGAGCAGAAGCTTCACAAACCTAGAGCCTGTTGCACCAAGCTCGAAGTACTATGCGCCTCAACTGGATATCGAGCCTGACAAGCCACATCAGGGGTGCAGTCTATTGCGCTGTTTCTCTTCTCTACTCTCTTCTTCTCTTGTCGCTCCTATCCTGAGCTCATCAGGAGCTGCGCAGTGCTGGCGGCAGGCAGACGCGTAGTGAACGGGCCACAATGTACTGTACTTTACCCCATTTAGAGAAAGCCTCTTATCTTTAGGTTAATCATGTCCGTTGCAGAGGCAGACAAGCTAACGAAGCAAGTGCGATTCAGCCGGATCAATCATCGCCGCCGCCACTCGCTGTCCTATTCGGCACATTTGCGATGGCAACCACACGAAGGCGGCGTCGGAGGCGGGATGTGCATGTGAACACCGACGAGCGCAGATGGGAGCCCGAGGCAGAAGTGGTCCGACGACTTGGACATGTCCGGTAGACGTGCTGGCGGAGCTGTCGCAGAGACATGATGTCCAGCGCAGAGCGTGGAGGACGACGGTCTCGATACCGCTCTGGCCACAAAGCTGCAGCGTCCACCGTTCCGAGTTGTCAGTCGAGTCCGCGTCGTGCGCTACCCATCGCGGACTCACCCTCGCGCGGTAGACCATAAATTGTAGGCAGAGCACCTTTAGTCGTAGCGCACAGAAAGCAGAAAAATGCAATGCCGTGTCGCTTACAGGCCCTGGACAAATGACACGCTCGATCTCCGTCCACTGCGGACCCATCTCCAAGTCTTAACTGCAACACGACCTACAGCCCGGATCAGTACATACGGGGAATCAGTGGCTCGGACAAGGAGAGCATCATACTTTCTGAGTGGGGACGCTATTGTCTGATCCATTCAGTGAGGCCGTGCGGTCAATGTGGAAGAGCTGTTGAAGGATATAGGAAGCATGCTAGTTTTCCCTAGGAAGCCCTTTCGGTATACATAAGGGTGGCCAGTCTAGAGAGGACATAGTATGTACAAGAACTAGGAATATACTAGTTTTCGAGTTTTCGGAACTGCGTAGCGCCCGGCGGCTATGTTCGTCCCAGCAGCCACAATTTCCCGCGCTCTCTTCTTCCTCCTTCTCCTCCTCCCCTATCCCGCCGCTCTCGTTGGCTCAGTTTGAGTCACAGAGGACAGGTTTGATTCATGTACCCGTAATTTCTTTGACTAATTAGAAGGATCTCGTCTTCGACATCTTAAAGGCTCTCCCGTCTCTGCCAGTGTCTTTTGAGTCGACCATCTTAACGGTACCTGTTCAGTACTTCTTTTCTTCTGAACACCTTTACTGTTTGTACCTCCGGCGAATTGCATTGTAATAGCGAGCGAAGAGAACTTCTCGTTTGCGGCTGTTGTACTAGCATATCAAGGAGCTTCTTTATAAGCTCGAGTGCCTTCGCCCCGCGAGTGCCGAATACGGCCAAACAACCGAGCTCGTCACGGCTTCACTCCATCCGCACAATGACGATGAGAAAATAAAAGATCTGCATCTCTTTAAGGCGGAGATTGGTGCGGATTCAAGTAGACAGAGCGCTGTGAGCTCCAAAAAGACAAAAGAGCTCGTGTCGACAAGGTACATTTCCACCATTTGTGGTTTGTCGTTGTGTGCTCTATCTGTCGCCGCGAGTCTTCGCGTGGTCGACGTTACCTGTCTTATATTGATGTCGGCCGTCCCCTCATTCCACGCTGTCCATAATCTCTCATCCCCCATTTACCAGGGTACATCCGTCCGTGCCAAACAAACCTCCGTTCGCAACCTTCGTTGGGCTATTCGCAGCCCCGGTCTACAAGCTCAGGACTGGTTCGCCAGTTTCCCCACAGAGGAAGAAATGGAAGCCGCAAGGAAGAGCTAAAGCATCGTGATCATGACGCGACAAAGGGAAAGGCGGGTGCTGAGTGAGAATCGGGATGTTTGCGGGCTTATGGAGATGGGGTTTAATTGTTCAGTGTCGATCATGATAATATTGAGCATCGCAATGAACTACAAGCTCTGAATAGATAATCCCTTCGTCTAATTACCTGTTATGATGCGCTATAAATTTAGATGGAACTAGAATAAATAAGCATCAATATATGGCTGCATTGGAGAGCAGTCTGAGTGATGCGCCGTTGAGCTTACTTGAAGTGCACTGTCCCTCAACCTGAACGCCTACATTCCTGGGTTTCTGAGGTTGTCGCGTTGTCGGCGTTGACGCCCTCGTGCAACTTTATGTATGAGCAATCAGTAAAGTAGTACAGTTCAGCATAGAAGATGAGTGCACTTGCCATTTCTCTTTCGTCTGTCCATCTCTCCTCGCTAAGATCTGCTAGCTCGAACTCCTCGCCAATCGTTGGGATGTCACAAGTTGGCCCGTCCGAGCCATCTTCATCGCTCAATAGCTCGTCCTCCGCTGCAAAAATAAGGCCATGATCAAGAGGTCCACCCAAGTCTCCAAAAATACTGGTCGCGAGGCTGTCTGTCTGTACATGCAACCCTTCGGAATTGAGCCGAGACGAGATATTCAAAGTACGTGTAGATTCGGAGGCAATTCGAAGGTTGAGTATGAACCGTGAGATGAGGATATAAGGCAGACTAGGGGAGTAGATAAGTACTGGGTGTTTCAGATTAACGCGCCCAGACCACGATTGCGAATGACTTACGTGTTGACGAATGGGGGCGCATAGTCAGTTATGTTCTAAAAATGCCCATGTCAAACATTAATTGTGTAAAAAAAAGTAGAATATCGACCGGCGAGTTTTCACTCTCATAAATCAGTACAAGTTGCAAAATCTGCAATGTGAGGTCTATTCTAAGCGCAATCATTGTTCTAGTTTTGTCTCACAAGAATACGGAAAAGTACTCACAGAAAGTATGCTGTCCCTAAACAGCACCGTCAATCAGAATACTAGTAATGTCTTGTATACTGACAGAAAATCACCATCTGTGAGGACAACCGATATGATCGATGGTTTGGAGTCAAGATATCGGGACGCGAATACGGATCGGAATATTGTATGCTTCCAGGTTATCGCAATAACGATCATATCGGAAATGATGGTCGACGCTGCGATCACAACAGACACTACATAGGAGTCAGTGCTACAATGACTGTTGCTGGAAGAGGGCTTACATCTATTTAATATAGAGCGGCATCAGTGCTGGTTGCATGTGGAGATATTTAAATAATTACTCAAAAATAGCGGAGCTTGTTATAGAATAGCCTATCCCACATATCATTGAGGTATTCGCTGCAAATACATAAGGATACGCGATCGCTAAAATATACTGCTTGAGTGTAAGAAGGTGTCAACCTTCCAGGGAAAATCTATGAGACGCACCACGTTGACTGCCACAGGCACAAGTCCAAATGCGAACACCAGCAATGCGAGTCGCTTATCAAGCCTACTTACAGCATATGTTCGTAGAGCAGAAAATACTAGGTATGATCCATTCAGTAACGAATAGGGCATGGAATACACGTGAGACAGACCCGCTGCGATCGCCAGCAATGCAATTGCTGCAATATATTCAAGAATGACGATGGCCTCGCAACTGATTCTATTACCTTAATGCTAACAATGGAATTGTACGGACAAACCTCTACTCCATCGTCACATGAGTTTTCACAGAGAGGTAAGAGTATAAGTTAAGAGAACTCACGAAGGCGGGAGTCCAAGGAGTGGAACCTATTGTATTTACTACAACACTGAACAAAAGTAGGTATCTGTTAAGGAGAAATATAATGGTGGCCCCAGAGGATACAGGGCGCAACCAAAATAGATCAACTTCAAGGGAGAAGGTGATGATATATTCGTAGAGAGCGAGGGCTATCATACTAGTGTTTCATAAACGCTTAAAATGCGTATGAAGAATTCCGCACCGATGGTTGTGTAGGTGCAGATATTATCTAGGTATCTTGCAATAGATGGCAGGTTACGGTTACGAGTGGCTTTCTCACCGAGCATGAACAACTCACATTAGATCAACTATAGCTGCCATAGATGAAACAGAGGACATTGTGGGGTAAAGCTCGCGCACGAGTCGAAAATGTGAAGGCCTGGTTGGGCAAGATCCTGATGAAGAACGAGTCCTGTTTATGCACTACGGTGGTCTAATAAGACCCTGGTGTGCACTGAGTTCGGTAAGTGGCTTGAAATATCATCCATGAGATCAATGCTTCCAAATGATCCAGCATGTCTTCGAGATAAGAGCCGAAAACAAGTTCTGGTGTGGCTGATCAAAGCTCAACGCAGTTTTCGGCGTTGAGCCGCCCGCGCTAGACTCGCATGTCAGTCGGACTTAGAATGCACACATCCGCTTTCGTTGAGGGGATCTAGAAAGGAGAAATCGGAGCTAGAAAAAAGTGAATCTGACGAACAAGCTGCCTTCGCAGCGGAGTACAAAAGTGAGAACGGCTGGATACGAGCTTACACCCACGCCAACTGTGAGCGCTTCAAGTGTCACCGAGCGCAGTGGTCTCTCCATGGGCATAATCTGGTATTCATTTTGTCACTTTAGAATGGAAATTGGATACATTATGTTGTGGGATTTGCTGTGCTTTTGCCTTATCCTACCTATGACTGCGAACGCAATTTCGCATCGGTCTCCTTCATATCCGCGATTTGTCATCATTACATACAGTGTTTTGGTGGTCCTTGGGACACTGGTGTTCCTTGAGACACTCATTCTTCCTCTTGACCAAGGTAATGGATATAATCGACCACCTGATATTTTATTTGTACTCTATGAAGCTACATGCTAAAAAAATCCAAGGCTGAACGGCCTTCAATTGAGGTTTTGAGAACATGATATATACCCAATTCCACCTACTTTGAGGAATTTTACAGACTCTGCGAGTGATTTAATTCTGAATTTATGAACATCACATAGCTAGCCTATTTGCATTCAACTTCACTCAACAAACCATGACATTTAGTGTGGAATTGCGCGATCTAGGAGAATAAAATGAATGCGTGACATCGTGCGTGAGGACGCACACATCACACGCGATGGGGGTGGCGGTGACTCAAGAGTAGCGACCGCGCTCGATCGCAGCGTGTCACGGAGAACGTCACACTGTGTCACGGTGTCCCAAGGAACCCAAAACTTCCAAAAACGAGTACAGGTGACAAATTAAATTCTGTTGGAGGGTACATTGCAGCTTTTATTCCCATAAAATTCATAAAGGACTTGAAGGCACTTCAAAAAACTCCTTAACATAAGTATGGTGTAATTTCGAAGTGTGGGGCGCACAAAACGAAATATGCAAACTGGTGTCCCAAGGACCACCGAAACACTGTAGTACACGGCTGTTTTGGGGGATGTGTTGCCTAAATAGGAAACAAACACCTGTAGCTATTGCACTGACTTCACAAAGATCGAATTGTAAGGTCGGTACGCCAAAATTTCACGCGAATATATATACGCAGCATTAATCTAATGAACATAATGGTCCATTGAAAATACATTTCCAACCAACACGAACAGTGTCAGCCGTGAAACAGTCTCCATATCGCGCGAGGTCTAGCGCCGGCGCCTGGCGCACTTCGAATAATCGATCTATTAGCCACTGTTCGCCCGTCACGCGTCACGACTGGCAGTTCAACGTGCATCCCATGGCATCTACAACCTAAACTTTTACCATGCCCAGGCAGACAGAACGTCGAGGAACGACCTATCTTGAACACAGCTGAGCGACTCATCGATCCCGATCTTAGTTCGTGCTTGTGAAGAGAGTGCCGTGCAATCGTGTGAGTCCATGTTTGCTCGTATATGGCTGGCGCTCAACTGCCATGGAGGAAAATGCAATATCCGCTGACAGTATGAGTGTCAAAAGCGAACCCATATGGGCATACGCAGATTGCGCCGTAGTCTTGGAAGGGCGCTATGCGAATTATCACACAATTACATCTTGGGCTGCACGACTGAATCAACATTCGTGTGACGATACCGCGCTTCGCTATTGCCTACACACTGTAGGAGACAGGTGGCATGAGTGAGTAGTTCTTTGGGAGAAGTCAAGTGATTCCATCTCGTGATGAGCCTCGTCGAAGGGCTCCAAGTCGTCATCTAGAGTATGAAAGTCTGTATCCACTAGTCGAAGTCATCCCGCAAATGTAGCTTGACCTGGTCATCTGTTTGATAGGGCCAATATCGCTCAGCACAATCACCTTTATGATGTGTGGTGAGAGATTAGAGCCCGACAATCTGAGTGACAATTGGTGGAGGCTCCCTGGCCAGTTCCGTGGGAGCGTCAAATGCAGGGCAGGGCGTAACGCGCACCTGGTCCAGGCACAGATGAGACTAAAATCTCATGAAGTATGAGGTGATTGGGCGAGTATACGCGAGAATATCTTTCGGTTCGGAGAATTAGGAGCCCGTGCCAGAAGCCGAAATAGCATTGTTTTAGGTTAGATCTGCATCCCTTTTAGTCTCCAATGCGAGCATTTGAAAAGGATGAGAGGGAGATAGCGTATTCTGTCGTAAAGTAAACAACCTCAAGATTATAAATCAAGTTACTTTAGAAGGAATAGTACGAAATCTATGCACAACATGTTGATTTATACATTCTTACTATTTTAATACAGGTGGATTGCAATTACTTCGGGCCAAGGCGAGCCACTGTGGTGTACATTGAGCATGAACCGACGCAGCGTAAAGCCAGATCCTGCCGCGTACCTGAGATAAGCTGACGTCTTGAAAGATATCTGCACACATTCCAGTCGTCTTCGTATCCGAGACTGAGACCGATCACAGCTACAATTCGACATACATGTACTGAAACTCTCTAGAAACCGCAGCGTCTCATTTCCGATGTTCTCCACATAATGTCCTACGCGCACCGGTTGGACGAGTGCAACGCTTCAGCAGAGAAGAGTGGAAGGAACATACCGTACGTGGCAAGGACAAAGTCGACATCTCCAGCTGTATACAGCAAGTTACGATACATTAACGAAACCATAGAGAACCTGGCGTACCTGGAAGTCGAACGTCTGAGTGATGCTGTTAGGCGCGAATTCTGTCACACGCGTCTGACCAGAGCTGTTCGATAGGTGAGATATAGACGCCGCTTCACCGGCATGATCCCCACTCACAGATAGTAGGTCCATTCGTCCTGAGTTGGGTGCCACTGATCCAGAACGTCAGCCACATTCCGAGAACTCGGCGTGATTTCCCATTATTTACATAGAGCTCCCTAAAGCCCATCACAGACTCGTTGTTAGCACCAAGTAAGATAAGTGGTAGAGTCGCCACGCACGCACCATACCGCATTCATCCGGGTTCAACAGTCACCTCCGCAACAGCAATCGACGTCGCAGCCGGGAACATCCGCGAGTCGACAATCTTGACCGATCGGACGGCGAGTGGCGTCGCGGTCATGGTCGACATCTGGAATGTGGATGGGTTAAGCACTTGCCCGTATGGGTCCTTGACCACCTGGACGTCAGGGGAGGGCGAGTCTATGCAAGTCACTCGCATGTAGTCCTATGACGCGTTTTTGCCAGTCTCTGCCCACCCCCGACGATACTCAATGGTACACACACTCAGGACATATGCCCACTGCAACGGGAACCGTCAGCGGCAGAATGGGGCTACTAACATCCATTACTACTCACTTCGACTGTCTTATGCCAATGAAACTCGCTGCGGGGACATGTGAGCATGGGTTTGAAACAATGCGCAACCGTGAGCTTACCGGATGGCACGAGCCTCAAGACGCATATCGACGCCGGCCATGGCTTGAGAACATTAAGGACTGGAGTTTCTTTGGAAAATTACTCGCAGGTAGCGATATGCATCTGATTGACTGCAGACGATGACACTCTGTCAGATGAAAATATCAACGAGGAAATAGAAACGCTCACGATTCTGTTGTCTCGCCCAGCCACCTGTCTGCAAGCGCATTGGGCTCAAACGCATAGGTCACTTGATGCTGCCTCCAGGTCTAGACCGTGCACACATCAGGCTCGGTGTCATTGCACTCGAAAGAAGACCTACATCACTCCACTGTCCGTAGTCGGAGGCGCAAGGGTATCTGGATTCTGCTGCTGTAGCGCCATGTTCTGCTGTCCTAAGATCGTCGTCCCGAGCGTACCCCGCATCTACTGAAATTATACCGTGGCGCTGGACGTGCTCTCAACCCGGACAGGCTGCAGGCTCGAGTAATCCGCCGTGCATAGTTCGGGTCGTCGCTTGCTGGCGTGATCGTCTCGCTTGCCAGGATGGCAGATGTCATCGTCGTCATTCCAGAGCTGTTTCTCGACATAACTGTGCTCTCTAGTGGCGTCGGTAGAGCGAGAGTGGAGGTGGCGGAGAGAAGGACGGCACAGAGCACGAAGGATAGGAACTTTGCCATGGCAAATGTGGTGGTAGGGCTGAGGTCGGCAGACGGGAATGGAACAGGATGTGATTGATCTATCCTCTCTCCCTCTGGAGGCTTTTATTTCTTCATAGTTTCAGGCAAAGAAAGATGCTTTCGTCGGCACCGTATGCACAAATTGACTATCTTTGGCAGACCTGCGCAGAGCCAGTGTTCTTCCCGGTAATTTTCGGCATGATGTACATGTACCATGTTGTGTTCCATGACCGTGGGTGCGCGCTGAAGCGCACAAAATGACTATTGGCTCTGACCAATTTGAGAACTCCTCAATGTCGTCCAGCTGGTCGAAAGTGACAGGTCTATTTCTGAAATATGCGGCGCGGCATGTTAGTGGCCAAAGATCCACGGCTCATTTTGTGACATCAGGACATCATGTTGCATTGCAGCTCATGACCCGAGTATCATTTCACCAAACGTTTACAAACTGTCCTAGCTCTTCATAGCGCAGGGATAGAAATCCCTCTGTAACAGGTCAACTATCACTGTGCAAAAGCAATAGATCAGAAACGACTGTCTAAGACGCACCAACAGAACATTTTCAGTCACCTAGGGATTACCAGAACATAATGGTAAATTGGTCCCAGCAGTAACCCGGACGGTGGTCCTGTTCAAGTTGGAAGAGTACATCGGAAGACTTGTCCCGTGGAACTTCGGTGCAAGGCACATAAGTTAGTGAGCGTTGGAAAGACTGCTCGTCGTGTGAAAGATAATCCATTTACCAGGGCGCATTGTTTGCGTAACGGCGGTTCTAACTGCTTGTACAAATTCGGATAGCACGGTATCGGGGCCTCGTGGGTGTCCTTACTCTCTAAGTGGCGTTCGCGGCGGACTGGGTAGGTAGGGCGCATGACGCGTAGTACGTTCGTAGTTGTAGCGTACGTAGACCTCTGTACCGGGTCGAGCGTCATGTGATGTACTTACACCATGTCTTTGCCAGTCTATCCTCCTCCTCCAGCCTAATTGGGTCGGAGTCCCGATCCTCGGTGGCGCTTCCGGTTTCGCCCGTAAGTGCTGCTACTATTTATCCTCACAACATGTTCAAGAGCTCTAGACCTTGAAATTACTTGTAAATCTATTGCTTTACTAATCCTTCTCTACTCATCATCATCGTTACGTTCATCCAAACTTGATAGTCGACGCCCCTTGGCAGGTAGGTGCGCTCGTTCATTGCTGGACATTCAGCGATGCTGATAAAGTTCAGGTCTTCCGAAGCGGCGCAGCGCACCATGATATGCGAGAGACGTGCGTTAGGGAACACAACGCAACGCGCAGAGAGACTCCAACGCGCAGAAATGAGCTCATGAAATGATGGGCGTGCCTGGCTCACCTGGACTACACATGGCTGATCCGCCTCCCTTCCAGCACCGCACCACGGACTCCGTTGTGGCCGAAGCGTCGGGCGTCTGGACAACTACAACGGCCTGGAGTGCGCCGGCTCCATGCTTGTGTTAGACCAACCGATGTCTCCATCAATCTAGCTCGTCCGCGTGTCTCCTACCAATATCGCAGCGGTGTCGTTGGGCTGCCGGTTGGGCATCCGCGCGTCGACTTTCGTCGCTACGGATAAACCCAATAGGTTCCAGCGATAACGCGTTCAGAGAGCAAACACCGCTTATTCGTAGGGCGTTAATGACTCGATTGTTGCATTATGATTTTGGCTCCCTCCCCCGTCCAGCTTTTGTTGGACAACAATCCTCGTTTCCCATGCTCCCGCGAAGCACTTCAGGTATTCCTATGTCTGTGCTTGTGCCTCTGCCTCCGATGCCTGCATCTGCTGGTTCAATGTGTAGCAGTCCCATCTAGAGGCAATAAGGGCTTTGTGCATAGATTGTCCTTGCAAGTGCATCTGCGAAGCTTGAACCCCGTTGTTCAACGTCACGTTGGCTGCAGGACTTTGACCCTGAAATAATACGAAAGCGAGAAGAATGCTTAGTTTCCGATAGAGCTGGGTCAGTATCACAGAATGGCGCATCGAGACGGGATGGGACTCGACGGCGGTGCATGTGGGGGGATGTGCTTGAAGGGTAGCTGGGAAAGGTGCATTGTTGTGTGATCCGCATATACAGGTTGACTTGTGACACGTTTGCTGACTCTTTCGAGATCTGTACTGTTTAGGTCCTTTCTCAAAACTTCTGCACGCTATGCTTCCAGTCCCGCGATCTTGCGTTCTCCGCATCCATTAGGGTAGCGGATTAGATACTGTCATGTCAAAAGGGTAGTCAATACGCTGGGTGGTTGGAGCATAATCTCATAAGGATAGTGACACGAACGCTCAACTGCTGGAACGGGCGGTCCTGAACTCCAATTCCTTGTATGCATGTCTCCTAAATTAGTAATCCCAACACTGAAATTTGTGCGGCGTTGGATGTGATACAATTGCCAGGTAAGTAGGCCGTCTTCAGCCATCTCCAGCCGTCTCCTCCCCCAACTGCTGCTAAAGTCTCCACGCACAGTTCGGCGCACCGATATATGGCAGACGGAGTTGAGTCACGCAGCAGCAAGCGGACACTTATATTAATTGTGCTCTGTCTACCGGAGTGGTGTGCAGGGCGCCTTATTCGTTGCGCGGGCCATATCTTTACAAAGCAAATAACGTTTCTGACGACAGCTGTACGCCGACAATTAAGCGAAAAGGAAGATTTGAAGGGTCATTGCGCAAGGGAAGGGAACGGGTCCGCGTTTGACGGCATATAGCGCATACTTGACTCACGGTGACTTCGCAGACTGACCTTGCGTAAGGAACATGGCTGGACCGGCAGCTGCGGTGGCTGGCGGCCGGGCGGTCCACACTCTGTGGTGGGTATCGAGTCTTTACGATGCCTGGAATAGCGCTGTAGGTCCCAACCGAAGTCGATCTCAATCTGGACATAGTTCTAGTCGTGTTCTACTTTCAGATTCTATCTGCAGGTATCCACCGCCGCTTCCATCCAGCTTTCATCTTCGTGTCGGCTCAAGCGCAGGCTTCAATGGTGGGATAGATAATGTCCGAGTCGAAATATGCCGGTGACGAGAAAGGGGAGAGAGTTTGGTGCGTATGCCGGAGCGCAGGTATGGTCAGATATGGTGTGCTAGGGTAACAGCAAGGTAGCCATCGACTTTCCCCTACAGTCCCTGCCAAACTGCCTTGTAGACTAGAGTTAGCGGTACGTCAAGTCGACTTTCGCTTCTACCAGTCTCGAGGGACATGCATCTAATTAGGTGTGTTGGTAGCCCAGGACAACTGTATATCAGCAGCTCGACCCTTCTTCTCGATATTCGTGCTTTTTCGAAACGCCCGAGAATACAATGTCTGACAAAATGATATCATAGTGGACTTCAAGCCCTGAACTAATACTCTGCTTGTCTAATCGTATTCCGAACGCCTAGCGATATCGAAAGTTGACGCATTACCAGCGTCAGCACCTTCATGGAACTATATATGAGCGGTCAGTTACGCATTCGGATCAATCCGATATGCTGCGTGCTTTGATTACTTACTACTTCATCCGTCTGTCTTCCTCCGCGAAGATCTGCTAGCTCAATGTCCTCGCTCGTCATCAGAATGTCGCGAATGGTGTGTGAGTTGTTGCCGTCAGATGCATCATCGGGAGAAACGAAACTATTGTCAAGAGGTCCGCCCAAGTCTTCAACCAGACTGTTTGTAAAGTTCAGGCTCGTTGTCTGTATGTGCAGCTCGTTAGATCTGAACCGGGACGTCGCATTCAAAGTGCGTGCAGATTCGGAGGCAATTCGGAGGTCGAGCATGAACCGCGAAACGAGGATATATGGTAAACTAAGGGTATGGATAAGTACTGGGCATTTGAAAATATGCATTGACTTTGATTGTAAAGCACTCACATAATGACAAATGGAGATGCATAGTCAGAATAAGCCTAAAGTGTTCATGTCAGAACTTATTTATGTGTGATATTATGAGGGGGTTAACTGAAAGGTGTTCACTCTCATAATAAAAGATGAGCAGTAAAATCTCCAGTGTAAGATTGACCCTAACACAGCTGTCATTCTACTTGTGTTGTTGAGAATCCTGAAATGTTCTTACAAAAAGTACACTGTTCCTGTACAACATGATTGATTAGCATAATTTCCATCAAATAGCCCATCAGAACATTACCATCTTTGAAAACAACAGATATAAAGGATGGCTTGAAACTATGATATTGAAACATCAAGCCTAGCTGAAATGTATGCTTCCAGGTAATTATGATTGCAATTGCATCAGAGACAATAGTTATACTAGTCAATGCTGTGCACATGGCAGATACTAAGGAGGAGGAATTGGTGCCATAATAGTTGCCATCAGTACCAGAAATACATCTGCATATCAAGCCTTATTAGTACTGGCTATATGTAAATATTTCTAAACTTTTACCCTATTGAATAAAATATTGACATACTAGTAAAATAGTTTATTGCAACTACTTTTGTAAAAGGTGGGAAACTTAAATTAACATACTGTTTTAGCATGAGAAAATGTCAATATCTCACAAATGATTGAGACATACTATGTTTATTGCCATAGATGCAAGCCCTAGAACAAGCACAAACAATGCAGGTTTCTTATTAGATCCACTTATAGCATATGTTCGCAAAGCAGAAAATACTACAAATGAAGCATTTAGTAACAGAGAAAACTCGGAGCAAACACAAAACAAACCTGCTGCATTACTCATCAATACACCTACTGCAATATACTGGACAATGTAGATGACCTCATACCTAGCACCATTAAATGATGTAACATTATAATCAGAACAGAACAAACAAACTTCTAAATCCATAGATGACAGTATGAGTGTGTGCAGAGATGAAAGTGTATAGTAAAAAACATCACCAGGTCAAGAGTACTCCCCACTATAATTATCACAACATTGAACAGCAGGAGATATCTGTTAAGGAGAAATATGATTGTGGCTCCAGAGACAGGATGTAGCCAAAATAGATCAACTTCAAGGGAGAAGGTGATCATATGTTCATAGATGGCAAGGGCTATCATACTAACATTTCATAAACACACAACATACATATGAAAAATTTCGCACCACAACTTGAGTAAACACAGATGTAATCCAGGTACCTTTGGATAGACAGTAAATTATAAGTATATTCTCACATAATCATGGCAGTAAGCAACTTACATTGTAGGGAACATAACAAATACCATTGTAGCAGGCGAGACACAGTATGTGTCGGAGGAACGTTTGTGTACGAGTTGTAGATGTGAATGGTTGAGCAGCGACAGTCGAGAAGTAGGATCTGTTTAAAATGTTGCAAGAATTTGAAACACATTTCTTGGAAATGCGTTCGACAGATGGAGTAGAGCCGGCGTTAGATACGGGTAGTTTGGAAAAGCATCGGCAAGACCGACGCTGCCGTCAGACAAGTCATTGAGACAAGGAAGATGATGGAATCATTGTAAGTGAAACGTTTGCTCAATATTGCACCAAGCTCGAAATGCCAGAACTGGGCATCCAACGTGACAAGTGTACAGTGTATAGTACAGTATCGACGTGCAGCAGCCTAAAAAATATAATAACGGATACATTTTGTGACTATGCTCGTAGAAGGATCTTTTGTCTTTGGTGCAGAGATGCTCGTTGCAGACAATCGAAAGAAGCTAGCGCGACTCAGCCAGATCATCATGGCCCGCCCCGCCGCACCTCGCTGCCCTACTCGGCACATTCGCGATGGCACCCACACATAGGCGGTCTGTGAGCACTAGCGCAGATGGGAACCCGAAGCAGAAGTGGTCCGATATCCTTGACGTGGATATATCCGTCAGACGTGCTAGCGGAGCTGTTCCGGGGATGAAATACCCAGCGTTGAGCATGGATGGAAGTCTTGCTGCCGCTCTGGTCATGGAGCCGCATGCTCCAGCCGTCGGTCCAAGCCATCAGTCGAGTTCGCACCATGTGCTAGCCATCGTAAGCTCATGTCCCCACGCGGCGGGCTGTCGCCTGTAGTCAGAGCACCTTCAGCCGTATGCCAGAGGGAACAGTACGTACGCGGAGAACAGCCTCAGTATCCGCTCACTTGGAATTCATCTCATAAATACAACTATGATACGACCCGCAACTCATCGGCATCGATATTCATGATACTGCAGGGCATGCGTACCAGCGGCTCTGAGGAGACATGCTTACCAGAAGGCGCATCGGCTGATGATCAAACACGGCCGCACAGGTAATGTCGGAAGATGTAAGGGACATAAGGCTCTTCTATGCAGTACTTTGGTATACAACGACTATAGAGGCCATATGTACGAGGACGTGATGGTGGTGGTGGTGGAGGATGATATACTAGCAAAGACGGTGCCTGGACCAGAAGAGTATGTGTTGGTTGTTGCCAAAGCGCCCGGCGGCTGCATCCGTCTCAGCCACTTTGACTTCCCTTCTCCTACGCAGCAGGAATTGGTCTATCGCTCAACCCGAATCGCAGAGGACACGTTTGGAATTTCAAGCGCTTGTCATCCTCCGATTGACTGGATGAACTCGTCTTTGACGTTCTCGAGGCCGTATCGTCTCTGCCAACCGTGCGTTTCTTCTGCCATCGTCTTGTTGCTATTCCTCTGAGTTAACCCCCAACGTATGGTACACAGTGTAACAATCCTGCTTGTCTTCCTAATGTTATTGCATTTTTCTCTCCGGAGTTCCGCGTCGGAATTGGGAGAGGAGAATTGTGATGGTCGTCTGCGGGTGAGTGAGTCCTTCCCCATCATGAGCTCGAACGCACGAGACAGAGCATAGGCACCAGCTCACAAGCACCGCTGGATGCGCAATGGACCAGTCTCTTCCCTCGTTTGAAATTACGACATATGTAGGCACTGCCTTCTCATGGAAGATACCGCCAAGTGTAACGCAAAACATCGCGCCATGCTTAGACTCGTCGCCAGCTGTGATGTACTGTGGATGGACCCTGCCCTTGCACGATTTGCTGAGGCCCGAAGTGCTGACCACTGGCCCAGTCCGCTCACACACCCGAGAATATAAATCCTTTCCGAGTGCTGCTCTCTCCCTGTCGCCCGAGCTACACTCCACGAGGTGCTTCTTACCATTGTTCCGTTTCCCCCAGTCTGGCGGCCAACACTCCTGGTAAGCTTGGCGCAAGTGCTCGCTTACTGAATGTCTGACGATTCTGACCAAGATCAGGTTTTTTAAGGCAGTGCAGCATGATATGAAGAGCGGCGAAGTGCATTGACGAGCGCCTCGCGCGGAGCCTGGGACGCATACTTGTAGAGTTTCTCGTTAACATGCTTATTGAGACGGTGAGCGTTCCCATCTTACGTGGACTATACATGGCTCATCAATACGGCCGTTGTGAGCAGAGAATTCTGCATCCGAACCAACTACAACGGCCTGGATTGCGCTGAGTCTATGCGTATGCTAAGTAGTAGGCTGAGCCTTTTCAATTGTCCCCAGCCTATCCGCGCGTCTCCAACTACCGCTGCGATATCCTTACGCTGCTAGCTGGGTGTGATGCGCATGCGCATGTGTGCTTGTCACTTATGAGTGCCAGGAACAGGCCCAATGTGTTTCAGCGGTGACGTGTCTAGGGAGCGAGCACGTCCCCGTTGCTGGTTCGCTCGGTAGCGCTGACTTGTCCCCCACCTTCCTGCACTCCTCCCTCCTTCTCTTCGGACGCTGCGCGCCGTGAAATGTCCCAGCGAATCGCAAATGACAAGTTTAGACTCAGGTGCACATTGTCACTCGCTCCACTCGGACGTGATTTGTCCTCGACGTCCTCGAGGCGAAGACGCGCGTGCCTCTCTATTCCATCTTGTTGCTCCTCACATGAGGTCACAGTCGACGGGCAGAGCGCAATGTCCCTTTTTTTATTCAGACAGTCCTTGCCTTTGGTATGGCCTAAGGAACATTTGGGGGTTGGGAGGAAGCAGGAACGCAATAGTCGCCGGATGCAAGATCGGTGAGTTGTCTTCGTTATCAGCTCGCAAGCACGAGACGGAGCCACATGCATCAGGTCGCAAGCAATACATTGTTGTTTGTCTCAGCTGCACAAGTCACTTGGCTGTGCAATGAACTAGTCTTGTCTGCTCTTGCTTACCATCCCCACGCGGACAGATATCTCGTTGAAGATACGCAAGGCATCACTTGCAATTATGATGTATGCCGCTACCCCCAGTATGGCCTGTTGAGGAGCTCAGCCATACAATTTAACCTCGTCCTCGACATCAAAATCGTCCTTGAACGTCACTCATCTTGAGCTACACCCCCCTTCATGCTCATTTCTACCATACATATTCCCTGCGCGGCCTCTCTCTTCCCCGCGCTTCAACCTCCCTGCCACAATCGTCGCTCTCTGGTACCCATACTCCACATCGTGAAGCGCTCTTATGATACTTATGCCCCTCCACCGCCCACTCTCCCAGTAATCTACAGCCGTCTGGAAACTATCAAGCGGGGCGGCTACTCACGCCTGCCCTGTCGGACATCCGCGCGAAACGTATGCGAGCCTCCTGGCCCCATCGCGCCTTCCAGCCCGAGTCTGATCACGCTGCATTTACGACAGTATCCCCAGATGAACTAGCTCGCCGCACTCGCGCACCAACAATGGACCAACGAAATACGCAATGTTCGAGCAGCCTGCGTGTACTGGGTGTTCGCAGACTATCTGAAAAATTCCAGCGATAGGACCCTGCGCACAGGGGTGCCACGGAGTTTGTCTTGGTCCGTTGTACCACATATCCATATCGCGAACGAGGACGGACTTGCCATTGCACGTCATTGTGAGCGCTTTTATTACTTGCGTATTCATGCGGCTGCCTCTCCCTCCTCCCAGACGAAACAGACGAAAGATGCCATGGATCGGGATGGCGAATTCTCGGTATGTCGTCGTGCTTATGCTCGCCGTCTACAATGGCTCCCAATAACTCGTCCATGAATGGCTATCCTCCATGCATGATATGCATCAAGAGTGATACGCAGTGAGGCTCGATTTGTGAGAAAAATGCGTCAACAATCATTCCTGCTCTAAGAGGGAAGAGCAGTATACCGGAGAGCGGGTACGATGTTCCGCACTGACGGTAGTCGACATACGAATAGGAACACATAGTAGCATACGAGGTCCATTCTCCGTGACATTCTCCCGGAGTATTGTACGGAAACATTCCCGACAGTCGCTGCCTGCCATCTTCCAGATGGAGCTGGGCTTGGTGAGTAATATATTAAATCGACCTTTACTCTTCCCGCACATTAATCTCTGCTGCTCAGGTATCTGCTCTGCCGCTGCTCCAGGTGAGTGAAACTTACGTGAACGCCATGTACCCACGCGTGACTGCGATATGATAATCACGAAGAATTGTTCGACAGAGGCAGCGCTGCGGGTCATACAGGTATCTTCATATGCTCGCCCGTCGTCAGCGCAAACCAGATATCAATTGTTTGTGCTCCAGCATGCGCCCCAAACATCTCTCTTCCCAGAGCTGTCAATTACTCTCCCCAACAATCTACTATTCCGACAGCTTGTATGTCGGGTGTTGTACACTTTCAAGTGAAATGGAAATTGTTAGTCTCTGAAAAATGTGAATCATCATCCACCTTCGTGGTCCCGGACAGCATTCATCCACCATCTTCTCCTTCCTATCAGGATTTGTGCTCCCTCAAATCTGCGTAGGAACGTACTCTTCCAAGTAGATACAAGGTGCATATATCAGTTTTACACCATAATGAAAGTAATAATCAACACATACCATATCGCCTAGTATTCTATTAGATGCTTTCTGACGTCTCTCCAGACGGCATCCTCCTTGTCCTTCTCCCTGACCTTAGCCAGACAACGCGCGCACAACTGGTTGTCCTCAAGCCATTTCAAATCCTTTTCACTCAAGAAGGATTGCAGCACACTAAAAACAGGTCTTCCCCGACGACTATGCTCATATTGAGCGATGGATCGAGACCTCGTAAGGACCTCCACACATGATGTCGACTGACCCTCACAATCTTCAGCGAACTTGGGGTTTAAAGTTCTGCGTAGAAGCTCGGTGTACAGATATGCAAGCTGTGCCCTCCCGTTTATGTAGCGCAAGAGGTTCTTCGTGTGCAGCTTCTCGACTTTCCCATTTTCATGAACAAACTCACTCATGATCACCTCGGGTGGCAGCTGGCGGCACAGGTATATACTCGCAGGGAATGTAGCATGTCCTTGCTGACCAACTTCTCTAGTGAATTGGCCAGGATGATCCCAGTCCCAGGAAGTGGCGCCAGTCTCATATTCTCGTCTCCATCGCTATCAACGAGATATTGGAACCGATCCAAAGTGCAATCGAAAGACAAGGCCAAAGTAGCCATTATGTCGCGAAGGATATCCTCTATCTTGTATTTGTGCGAAAGTCGCAGGAGAATCCCGAAGACTTTTGGAGTAAGCTGGGGCCGCGCGCAGGGAAGGTACCTATGCATTATCAGTTTTCTCGGGTCTGCGTATGAACACGGAGTAAGCGTCCACCTGTGCCTCTGGTACAACGTCCCCAACAGGATATGTACATCTTCCACCTGGTCAGATAACCTGACGAGCGAATGGCCCTCGAACATGTCCATGATCTCGCCTTTCGATGGGGGCAGCGCGAGGATTTCGCGAAACACGTCCGAGCACTGCGAGAGCACCGACCTGTGCACGTGGAACGCAGTCATTTCCGCGCTCAGCACGACGTCACCATTCTCCGGCCAGAAACTGTTGTCTGGCTGCGGTTGAGCGGAGGCGGCCTCTGGTGAGCTGGCATCGACATTTGATTGACGCGTGCGTTTCCGAGTCCTGGATGGTGTTTGAGAGGACATGACAGCGATGCTGCATGAGATTGTTCAAAAATAGGATAGAGACCAAAAGACCAAAATCGCCGGTGTTCGAAGAGGATGCAAGTCAGATTCTCCTCCAGGTGGAGAAGGCGCAAATTAGTAAAGTTGTATCTCAAGCGTCATGCCTATTCTCTATACAGTAGGGCGCTTTTCAGATTCGTCACACGTCTGTGTTTGACTTTTGCCCTCTGAGTGACTGCGGCCCAAGTTCACGGCTCCTGTGATCTGCTTCGTCAATATTCAAATATTTTGTAAGTCAACGCATGGTACTTCCGCTGAGTTCTACTGCAGCGTCGTTTGTAGCCACTACGGACAGGTCGTGACTATCGCGTTCCGGCGACGACGCACCCAGAGAGCGAGCACCTCTCCCTCCCTGTGCGTGAGACGTTGACGACATTGCCAGCTCCTCGCAGACCGGCCAGGTCGTCACTGCGCGGAGCTCTCTTCAAATAGTCACCGTCCAGACAGAGAAAATACATTGGCGTGGACGTGGACCCACACGTCCATGACGATGCTCAGGTTGCAATGATGGAGTCCGTATTTGTCCCGACGACATGCTATTTGACGGGCGCGCACCCAGACACCACATGACGCGCGTTTCGAAGATGACAGAGCGTAGTACACCGGACGGGGGACGTGGCGGGGCGTACATTTCTGGTCGGATGTTGGGCTTGAGACTGGAAGTCGTGCATGACGTGAGGAGACACGTTGCGGGCAGATGGAAAAGCTGGGGCTGGGGGTAGCATAGAACGGAGCGGAGGCCGAGGCCGAGAGCTCGTATACACTCTCACTGTGGCTAAATACCGAAGCCGACGTCCCTCTCCGTTCGCACGACGAACCATATCCGGCACGCGCGCCCAGCCCTGTAAAGTTCGAAAAGGGCAGCGACTCAAGAGCAAAGAGCTGGACGAGAACATGTGGCCTTCCGGATGTCGAGATGGTGGTCAAATGTTCGTGTCGATTAGTCGGGGTGGCCCCGCCCCAAGCCCAGGTTCGAGTCGGTGAATGCAGGATGTCATGAGTTCAATCGTACAGTATAGGTAGCGGAGGCTGGCAAGCGTCGGGACCAGCTGCGCCTGCTTTGGCAACGACTGACAGAACTTTAAAATACGCAGTTCACTACAAATTTTGAAGAATTATATTTCCCTTGAAGCTACAATAACCAAAACCACGGAGACACACGCAGTAGATTCTCGTCGTTCCTGTACACATTGAGGATATGATCCCAACTTGACCACGACAGTACAGATCAGAGTCTTGCTTAGTAGCATATGACTCGCCGCTGATGTAGTACATAAACATGTCGAAATGGTATGTCACTTTTTCTGTCATATAAGGATCACCTCGTGGTGCAGTACGATCCAGTAGATGCCAAAACGTCCGAGGAGAGCTTCCGGACAAAGTCCACGATCATCAGCGCATTGTGGCCACCGGACTATATTCATTTCGAAGTTAATACTAGTAGGTATTCAAATGCATATCTGTCTGCGATGACAGCTGAATTTATCGAGTTGCATACTATGACACCTGCCTGAGTCCGATAGTCGTGTGAAATTATCACTGTTCTTCGAAGCCATGCGGCGACCCGTGACTCTTCTCAACCCATTCAGCTGAGGAACATTGAGATCCTGGCACAGCTCAGGACGTCGACCTTCACTACTCGTCGTTCAAGGAACCACATCCGCTTGGAGTTTACAGTTTTTCCCATGTGCGAAATGTTTCTCTCGATTGTGCGTAGACACTACTCGCTCTTCATCTCTATTGAATGTTATTCGTGCCACTGCAGGGTCAGTGCAGCAATGACCTACTATTTTCCTCGTTATACCCTGTTTATGCTGCACTCGGCTTTATACGTAGACTTTATCCAAACTGAGATGCCTGATCAGGAATGCCTGATTGGGTCAATGCACACTGCGGTACGAGGCGCACATTTGAAAGTAAATCATGTTGTGGTAAATTCACAGCCACAAAAATGCACGTCTGTAGTACATACGGCAGGGCACTGACAACATCCATGAATTTTGGACTCCGTTCTCTAATTATTCTCCTATAGTTCCTTAATGCATTTTTCAGCCTGGGATCAGTCGGTAGGACAACATTAATTGCAGGTTATGAGACCTACACATCGTTCCTGTCGTACGCAACCAGTCGTACAGAATCATGATCACGCGCATACGTCAGCTATAAAATACGGTAATATCATATCAAAGGTGACATTCTTCAATTTCAAAACCAGATGTACTTACGAACTGCAGCATCGTCAGAATCGATACATCCTGCGTCGGCTTTCATCGCAAGTGCTACAACAAAGATGATGATAGTAAGAATGGATTTGAAGCATGACATGGTGAATTGTGAGGATTATGGGGTTGAGGTGTTGCTCACCTATCACTCAGCATTTTATAAAGCGTCTTCCGTGAATCACATGAATCTTTACAGTAACTTCGGGGGCGAAGGTGGCAACAAACAGACCTGATGCAATTTTTTTAATAAGTATACATTTCAGGTGTATTCACGACAAAGGGTGTCGTTCGCAAACATTAAGTTCGGAAGCGCACGCGCACTAAGCCGTGGAATGAAGTTATCCGACGTACGTTTCCATCAGATGTATTATGATATCTTGACAGCGAGACAAGGTGTGCAAAGATGTCTTTCGCATGGTGATAGCACTACGCAGATTGACAGATGGATCTTTGCGCAAAAGGTACGGCATATCACGATGAAATTAAAACAGATACTCATCAATCTAGATCAGTGGAAAGGTTAGGACTTCTGCTGCACGCAGAGAGGTGATGTCAAGTCATATCTCACCTGGTCGACTCATTCTCGTCAGCTGTGTAGCGTAGCACATGACACAGCAATTCACTATGCTTGTAAACATTCCGAACTCGTACTGCAATGTCTTATTTCATTTTCCCAGAGCCTAGAAGACTTACGTCAACAATGAAACCTCATATTACGACGTGCGCATGAAGGATACTCACTACATCGAAGGAATCGAAATCCGGAATCAATTCACTGAAGCTGTCGCAGCTATATTGTGGAATGATATATAAATAGATAGCTTAGATGAAAGTTCAGACTCCAACCGAAAGGCACATACAATGTATACATACCAGAAGCGGGCTGGTCCTTGTTCTGCAATCATTCCACATTGCAGCTTTCATCACCAACTGGTGCCTCGTAGGCTGAATTGACTATGATAACTCCTACTGTCACACATGCGAATATTGTATGCCAGTCCAAGGCGATCTCCTCCCTCACTTGAATAGTGTCGATTGTGGCGAGACGCGGAGGGCGTGTCTTATAATTCAGCACGCGCGCGTCGAGTGGAATAGAGGCGTTCAAGCGATAAAGACTAAGCATGAATGGCTTTGAAGTTGTTGAAAAGGACAACGTCGGTTCAGCTACCACATGATGCTCACACGCGTCCTAACTTATGACTTGGTACCCAGCTAGCCACAACACGCCGACTGTCAGACTACTGTACTTATCGTCTATAAAGGGGCTTGCCCTCAAGGACAATAAACGAGACCCACAAACAAACACGTGTCCATCCCGAAGTCGATCGCTCGGAATTGAACGGTTGAAGTGATCTGACGAAAGAGAGGCTCAGATACGAAGCAGCTCTGGCCAAGACGTATGTATGCTGACCGTGTCAGTGTTTGAATATGTCTGTCTTCTGGGATGACCGTTCCACTGTGAGTCAAGTGTGCGCGGTCACTCCGGAAGATCCTTTCGTTGTCGGCAGAGTCAACCTGTGCAACTAGTATCAGCCGGTTGTCAAATTTCCTCTGGACTGAAGGAAATGGTCGGCGAATGTCTGCCAATCCGATGAACTGAGACGGTCGACGAAGACGATGCATATCTTGTCGGGGGAGGGTGGCATGCGGACGCGTCATCATTTCCATTCCAAAACCCATGGATTTGCAGGCGTCAAGCACATTCACGACGGTAGCTCAAAATGACTCGATCGGCCTCTGACAGTTCGCGACACATCGACACAGGTGTGAGTGTCGAAGTTAGCTCAATGCTGGCTGCTCACCAGTATCATTTCTAAGCAGAGATTTGATAACAACGGCATGAGATAATAGAGGTATATAGTTGCGGCACTCTTCTCAGACTCAATTCCATCGCGCACTCCATTCAAGCCATCCCTCTTGTTCCTCCTCCAATTTATCATAGAGCTTTCCCCAGTCTTTACAAACCAAACT